ATATTTATATATATGTGCGTCGCAAGCACTGTTGACTTACCGACTATATAATTACAAGCGTTTGTTAAATAGCAATTAGAATCAACCAACCGATTATTCTAAATATTATTAAACAAATGTTTGCAGTTATGTGACATTTCAATCATTTATATTTGCCATATCTGAATATGTACGCACTCAATTATACATACTCTACTTCATATAGAAAATATTTTCTCGAAAGCGCACATTAAATTTGCCTTTCCCGTCCGAGTTCAATGATCGATTATGTCAATCGATTTCGACGACTGGAAGAGCGCGACTCTGCGTCCGGTGCATGCAATTTAGGTCAGAGATACAGCAACGGCAATAGCAGCAGTGCACTGCCAATAAACGGACGCAATAGTGAAACAGACCATTATCGGAAGCATCATACGTCTTGCCGTAGAAACGAATTAACGTCATGTTGCCGGGCGTTACATTCGTACCGTTTGACCGGGGCGAGAGAGAAGAAGCCCAGATGGATGGGCATCTAGCTGATATGGAGAGACCGAGCGAGGATGATGTGTACTGAAGGAGGGAGAGCGAGAGCTGGCCGAGTGGACACGCGATGGATCGACGGGTAGCTAGATAGAGGTACCACCACCTATCCTCTTTCTCTGATTGCCTTCGAAATTAAACGGGCTGAGTGTGTCCCGTAACTTCCATCAACTCCGGGCTCACTCGGTTATCGCTTTCCAAAATTAGCTGTTCGATTCCAATCGCACGTCGCGCAAAGTTGAAGATTCCAGGGCGATTCGGAAGCGGGACGGATTAGGGATTTCGGCTCGCGACAGATTTGTCCGCCGTGTCGGGACCGAGCACGGCGCGGAAAACGTACGAACGGATAATTGGCCGGCGGGAAAGATTTGATAAGACTGTCTGTCGAGATATTATTAAACGTCAGTGATTAAGCTTGACTTTAGATTTCCGCGCGGAAATCAATTATGTCACAATCGATTAAGTTTGGCGAAAAAACTGTGAAAAAATAATCGGAATCGCGGATCGTTGAAGCCTTTGCATTTTCGATATATTATTCGGAATGTCAATAGTAATAATGTACATAAAATTTTATTCAAGATAATACAATTCGCAATTATGTGAACTGTCAATATTAAATATATCTTCGATGGATTTACAGCGAGATCTCTCGCAATACCTATAGAAACCTATAGAAACCGATTCTTTAGAAACGTCATTCTTCGATATGATCAATGAAAATCTCCGATTGAACGGATACGCAATACGAGCCCCATTACCGTAGGAAATTCGTCCTCGGTCCTTTTCTCTGTCGCTCCGCTCCTTTTGTTCCGTCGTCTCATCGGCGAATGGTAGAACTTCGCATCTGCCAGCCATTTGCGGTGAACGTCAAGTTTCGAGCAACGAGAGGCGCCCTGATATTCGTGAAAGCCGATACAAAATACAAGCCACGGACATGTATCGGCTTTCACGCTGCTGCCGGCGGAGCACAAAAACTTGCACCACGGAATACGTACACTGACTGCTGAATCCATCGCGTCGAAATGCTGCTTCGTTTCGCAAATAATTATTGCAAATATTTCTATTCGTTATTAATTAATATCAGTCTGGCGCACAAGTAATTATTTCGTATATAATAATTGTCTGAAGTATCTGTGCAAAATACTGATAATAACGACAATACTCATATTTTTCATAAGTGGAGTGGCCATTATTTCATCATTACCAGCTCATTACAATTTAATAACGATCTTTATAAAACCGATAATCGGGAGCCGATATTTCAGCAAGAAGCCGAGAGATACAGCTACATAGAAGAGAGTTTCCCGAGAGTTAGGATTGTTCGCCGAATGCTAAAAAATTGACCAAAGTCGATTTATTCGGTCCACCACCTACCTTTCCGTTTGCCGTTTCTACAAATCACGTATATAAGTTCCTGCGGACCGCCCGGCAAGCGCCGCGATTCGAAAATATTGAACGCGTTCAAAGTTACGACTCGCCCCGTCAAACTTCACGGATCGAACTTCCTCCGGAAAGCGCTTTCGCCATGCGAGAGGGTATCGGAAGGCGAGGACGGAACAACGTGTAGAATGAGAAGGGGGTATATTTATTACGGGCCCTGGAAGAAAGAGGTGCTCGGGCGCTGTTTCGCCGGGTAAACGGTGGCGTGCGAATGTCCGTGACTAGTGGGCGGATTGCTTATCAGGAAAGGCGGAACGGCTCGTGAAATGGCAATTAAACGCACGATCGTCTCTATGTTAAGATCAGGCCACTCCTGCGTGTCGACGTCGATCACGGTCGACGTCTGTGCATCTTCTGTCAGTTAATTCTACTGACGCGAAACGATTTACGCGCGCTATGGTTAAATGATGTGGATGGCGAGCAGTTTGATTTACTCAAGATTGGCAGCTGTATTTGGATGGATGTTGTCATCAGCGACCAAAAAATCGCAAATCATTGATTCGTAATTCAATGAGATTCACAATTCTACCGAATATATTAAGCCAGTGATTTTATAAAATAAATGACTTTTGATAACAAATTTGCACTTAATATTTTAGAAAATTACAAAATTGTAAATTTGAAATAAAATACATTTTGTTGCTGGCTTTATAAATTCAAAGCACTTAATATAATTACTTCTCGTGTTTACTTTCGTTAATTTTATGAAGTTTCAAATAATTGTATGAGAACATGTTCGAATTTTTTTGTAATAAAAACATCAAAAAAATTTCATAAAATTATTCTAACACAAATACAAGTTGTATTGAAAAGATATATTTATTTTTATTTTAAAGTAAATATATCTTAATAAATAAATAAACGTACACACACGTTCGAAACGTTGTAACACGTCGGTGCGGTAGATAGGGATATCATTTCAACTTTGATTAAGAAACGCATTATTGACACGCAGTCAGTACGAGTCGTGTCCCGTCCCGTTACTTCGAATACACGTCAACCACGCACGCGTGCCACATGCGGGAGACCTAATTTCCGACCTCTCAGCGGTGTGCCAATCGCCGCGATCGCGGCGATTGGCGGCCATCGACTCTTCTCGCCCTCGGAAGTATGGATTATCGCGCGCGGTACGCCACACAAGTGGACGCCGGGACCGCCGCCACGGGGTAAGGCCCCGTCGCGCTCAGAATCATTAAAGTTTCGCACGTGTCTGGGGTGCCGTGGCACCGCAGGC